TTAACTTTATTTATTAAATATCATGTTCTTTGCACTTAAACCATAAAATTCAGTTCAAGAGCAATATCGCAAAATAATGTCCTTAGAAAGTCCTCCACGAAGGCATCCCTCCCTTTAGACAGGTAGCCCTAGTGTGCTTTGCCATAATTAAATAAACCAAACCAATTTCAGCATTTCCAAAATCTTTCTAGTTCACTCAACAGTTTTTCTCTTTTACATTGGGAAGGATTTATTACTGAAATTCTTGCGATATTTCCTTCTGTTTTATAATTTTTATTTTGAACTTCAAATTCAGAAATCGTATAGGCAAAAGCGTTTAGACAGAGATATAACAGAAATGGGATGCAGTACAAAATACAAATCCAAAACAACAAAAAGAGGAACTAATGCAAAAAAGTCGCCAGTCAGCCAAGAGATCCCGAGCCTCTCAAGACTGTGAGTAAAAAGTAATGTCAGGTGAAGTGTGCAGATGGAAGTTGAAGTAAGTCCTGCACCAGTGAATAGGTATATATTAGTTATTACCGGCCTTGCTAACTCTTATGCTACTGCCCAAATTTTAAAGGAAAACTACGAGGGGGGACGTCCGTGTATCTTCCTTCTTACCCTACCAGCAACCTCGCAAAAGGACTTTCGGCTCACCATGTATTTTAACTCTCCCCCTTTCCGCGCAGACACTATACGCTTACAAACATCCATGTCTTTTCCGGAATTCGAACCCGAGCTCATCAATACAGCAGTCAGCGTCACTAACCACTCTAGCGGCTTAGCGGCCTAGAACAAGTGTAATAGCTAATGTGGACGACATTCATAGACGCGTCCCCACAAAGAGGACACAACAAAAACGAGACAGTTCCAAATCGAAAGAGATCTGCCAAAAGTTAACCATGTCTGGAAGTCAAATGAAAAGCTGTAACTGTCTTATCTAATAAATGGGCTGGGTACGTGGTTAAGTTGCGTAGCCCACTTGCTTCATACCCTTCGCTGCAGTGATATAAATAGCTTACAGTTAATAGTGCAAAATATACATTTATGTATACCTATCTATAGTGCAAAATACACATTTTTATGTGCAATGAACAACGTAGATTAGTGAGTGAAACTTCCGGATACAAATGTTAGGACACGTTTGCTCTCCTCTGCAATGGCATCTGCCACCTCGTTTTCAGGTATTCCACAGTGAGAAAGAATCCCTTGAACACAATTTTTCTGTGACGCTCCTCGAGGCAAACCGAACAAATCTGGCATTTCATAACTTCTTGACTAATTTGGAGCATATTTCTTTGTAAAAGAATACAGGATATTTTATATGGTAACATATTCCACATTCATGACCATCACATGTTTGCTGCCCCTATTTCTGTGCCTATGGCAGAATTTCGGTATAGGTTGGAGGGAAAGTTCTGTCGTATTTTAAATAGGCAGGTGATTTTTCTTGTAAATAAAAAAAACATCTGGCTAGTGAGTCAATCGGATTTTTTTTTTGTTTTTTTTTTTTTTGTTTTGTTTTGTTTTTTTAGCTGCTGTATAATATAAAAGGTGCCCTTTTTTACCATTCATCATTTACTTGTGATATTTTAAGTGAAAAACATGTCAGTAAGATAAAGTGCATTTACGACACTGCATTTTGTATGAATTTCCAAAATGGAAGCAACGCATCGGTTGCATGTAAAGAATTTATGTGCGGTATTTGGAAAAGATATTGTAAATGTTCGTACTTGTCAAAGATGGTTTAGCAAATTTCGTTCCGGGGACCTAAGCCTCAAAGAAAGTGTTCGATCTGGACGACCATCCAAGATTGATAATGATGTTTTGCGATCCATGTTGGAAAATAATCCACATTTAACAAGTCGAGAAATTGCAGAAGAGTTTGGCATTCATCATACAACTGTTGGAGATCACATTAAATCTCTTGGGTTTGTGTTAAAGCAAAGTGTTTGGGTTCCACATGAATTAACGGAAAAGAATTTGTCTGATCGTGTAAGAATATGTTCATCACATCTGATTAGACGCAATGTGGAGCCGTTTTTGGACAGGCTGGTTACTGGAGATGAAAAGTGGATTCTTTACGAGAATATTAAAAGAAAAAAACCTTACTGCAAACCAGGAACATCATCAGCAACAGTTCCAAAACCAAGTATCCATCAACGAAAAGTACTGCTTTGTTTGTGGTGGGACAGGAAAGGTCCAGTGTATTACGAGTTGCTGAAACAGGGAAAAAACATCAACGCGGATCTGTACTGCAATCAGCTGGATAAATTGAATGCAGCTATCAAAGAAAAAAGGCCAGCATTAGCGTCCAGAAAATGAATAGTGTTCCATCACGATAATGCTCGCCCGCATACTGCAGTGGTGACACTACAAAAACTGAATGCGTTAGGATGGGAAATCCTTAGTAACCCCCGTATTCACCTGACATTGTGCACCCTCTGATTATTACCTGTTCAGATCTCTGCAAAATTATCAAACGGGAAAAAACTTCAAGTCTTTTGAAAGTTGTTTCTAAGGCAGTTGCTGACTATTTTAACTCCAATGGATGAGAACTTCTACTAAACAGGAATTTACAGGTTACTTGGAAGATGGCAACAGGTTGTAACAAATAACGGAGCATATATAATTGATTAATATTAAACACATATTTTTATAAATGAATTCAAATATTTTCTTTAAAATACGACAGAACTTTCCCTCCAACCAATAGATGGTTTTACAAAACTAAGCTTTTCCATTCAGCAGGCCACTCTTGTTCTCTGCTTAATAACCAACTCGCTCGTAGTCTAAGTTTGACAGCCAAACAAAGCAGCTTGTTATTAAACTACATCATTGACTATTTAAGGCACTTTATAATTGGCACTTTTTCTTCACAAAAATGTAAATTTCGCTTTCGCTAAAAGAAATGTACGTTTATCCTAATTGGGTTCTAACTACTAACTGAATGTCGTTTGTAAGATATATATATATAAGTTTTTTAATAGATTTTCAGTATCCATTTATTTAATTTCTGACAGATTTATTTTAATTCACACATTATTATCTTAAATCTGTCCAGCACTTCTAATTTGCTTCTTCAAATCCACAAGAAATGTAAAGTGAACAGCGAATGGAAATCCTACATTAAGTATTGGCCACACAGTCAGTGACGCTGAATCAGTCATATTCCTCTCGATTGGATAGCTGTACTCATATACGGTGAGTTTCTCGCTTTTGCTAATAGATGCATTTAGAAGTAGGATTATTAGCCTTTAATTTAATATTTAATTCATAAATATTATTTAAAATACTATCATATTTTCAGTCACATGAAGCAGAGTTTTCGTTAAAGCTTTAGCTTGTAAAGTATGAGCCTTAATACAAATAAACGTTTAGTTATTATTCTTGTATTCATTTAGTGTTCTTGTAATCTAAACTAAAGATATGATGAAAATTCATTTACAGCCTAAGGAGGTTAAACATTTCTTCAAAGGTGTTTAGATTAAGTGAAATTAGGTTTATCCTTGCAACACTAATTCAATTTTTTTAATTACTCCCTTTGTTTTTTTAATGTAATTCGTATTTATAGTATTTGCATTTATTATTCAAAATAATATTTTAATAGAGCAGTCTGTTTTAAAATTTAGAAGATATATTAAAGTATCATCGGCAGCTTTGGGTTTCTTTTACAATATTCTCCATGTAAAATATACTAAAATATTCTGAAAATTTGAAACGCTATTAATGAATACATGTGAATGCTATGCCAAAAATAATTTACTGTGTCTCATTTCTTTTTTGAAATTAAACTAAAATAAAGATAGTAATATATACAATTAAAGTGACATCTCTTGTGTGAAAGATATAAAAACAAGTAACTCGTTAACTTTTTTGAAAGAAGAAATATCGATTTTATTTTTAATTGAAGCAAACTTTATGGAATTGCTTTTAAGCCCCCTTTTTATAATGAATAATTCATTTAAAAACAAATATAACCGTATTTTTTTTTTTTTTTTGTTTTTGTTTTTGTTTGTTTGTTTGTTTGTTTCCTCTCTTGCTTTCTTGCGGGAATGCAAAATATTCTAAAATATCCTGAAAACTGGATGCATTTTAAATTTTTCTATGCGCATGCAATGTCAAAAATAATTTAGCGTACTTTATGTCATTTTTATAGTTGAGTTATTAAAATGAGACGCTAAGATTTAAAGTTAAAAAAAAGGTTTAAAAATATTTGCTAACCCCGTTTTCCCTCCGAGAAGCCATCGATAGCATTTCCAATTCAAGTATACTTTTTGGAACTATTTTTAAAGTTTTTAGTAGTCTTTAATTCCTCTCGGAGGAAATTTAATTCAATTTATTTAATTCTACCCTTTGCTTCCTTTTGGATTTTTGCAAAGAAAAACGAATATTAGAAATAAGAATGAGCTGAAAGAGAATTGTTTCGCCTTCAACTAGAAAATATCTTAAAACTGATATTTTTTGCTTGTATCGTATTTCAGACTTCAATCAAACGGAAACTGAAATGATACCTTAAGCTTTTAAGCGATTATTAACTATAGAAAAATAATTCTTATTTCAGTTTCCGAGTGAAATAATCAATGACGCATTATTGTGATTATTCTTTTGTTAGCGTACTGTCATTATTACTTTTTGATTCTGAGATTATGAGTTTAACATTTGTCTCGCCAAATCGCCCTCGCGTTGTTTCGCTGTAAATCCGATTGAATGACGGAATCATTCTCCGTTTATTTGCATCAGAGAACGCAACAAACGCTTCGCGGTGTTCGCTATCAAATCACGTCGAATGAAAAAAGGTGTTCTCTTTTGGAGGTCACGCGGCGCATAAACAAAACAACAGAAACGTCGCGGTCGCGGGATGGCAAATCCAGAAACCACACTGGAAAATGCACACTAGGATGCATTCCCGCTTACTTCTTTTTTTGATTTCTCCTCCGGTTGGTGGGAAGGGAGGGAGGGAGCGCATTTTTTCTCTCTCTTGTGTGTCCACCAATGAGAGGCGCGCGTGTTCTGAGATATAAATAACGTCTCGCTCTTTCCGCATCTTTCCTTCGCAGCCGATCAGAAAGATTTCTCCGCTATGGGTCGCGTACGTAAGTTTCGTGCTATAGTCGGCATCGATGAACTAGCCTGGAGTAGCACGCTCTGGCGGTCCCTCCCGGCCGAATTTCTAGGCACTGGATTCCTGGTCCTAATAGCCTGTGGTTCTTGCACAGGGGGATGGGAAAGCGACTACTCGCCTACAATCGTTCAGATAGGTCTCACTTTTGGTCTCATCGTGGGTACTATGGTGCAAGCCATTTGCCACGTGAGTGGAGGCCACATTAATCCGGCTGTCACGGCAGGAATGTTGGTTACAGGTAAATGCTCAGTTCTGAGGGGCCTTCTCTATATTCTGATGCAATGTGCCGGTGGCATCGCCGGTGCCGCTGTGCTCAAGGCGGTTACTCCAGAGGATCTAAATTCAGCACTCGGGGAGACTGCTCTCCACCCCAAGATGAGCCCCATCCAGGGGGTAGGGGTCGAGTTCCTGATCACTTTTGTGCTCGTCTTCACCGTTTTCGGAGTGTGTGATCCCAACAGGGTGGATGTTCGGGGATCCGCTCCTCTAGCCATTGGGTTTTCTGTCACTGCTTGTCACCTGTGGGCGGTAAGTTTTCAAATCTTTAGATCATATACTTTGTTAAAAATTCAAGTTGGTTATGATAAAAGATAGGCATTATTAACACAATTAGTATACAAATAAAAACAAAGATGCATAAACGAAGTAATACAACAATATAAAATTAATATGTGACTGCAATGACATAATATAATAACATAAAATTAATTCAAGTAAATAATTAAAATACAATTTATTAAATGGAAAAATTAATTCAAGCAAATAATTAATTAAAACGAAATTTATTAAATGATGATAACTTATTATTAATAATAGTTATCGTTATGAAAATTATAATCTTATATAATTGCAAAACATATTAAAATATGTATTAAAATTATGAACAGTATAATAATAAAAACAAATTTTATAATCAAAATATAATATAATGTTTCGTTTTAATAAACAAATAATTAATTAAAGCAAAAAAAATGTAATAATGTAAAAATCAGTAAGCATAATAACATAAATTTAATAATATAAAATTAGCATGTAAATGTTATATAATATTATATAAATTCATATGCGAAAGAAAAATTAAGTATACAATAGTTAAGGTAACAAAAAAGCATTTTAAACACTGAAAACAATTTTGCGCATAAAGAAGGATTTAAATATTGTATAATACACATTTCTTTCCCTTAAAGGTTACAATAATCTAATGTAATATATATTTAGACAGGTAAAAGGTGTTCAAAACAGGAACGTTATTTAAATCCTCTGTTAGGATTTGAATCAAAAGAGTCATAAGTCGATGATTTAAATGGTGAAGCTTGATTTTCAAGTAATAAAAGAAAATATTTTTGCATGAACGTGATTATTCGGTCCATTTTTGTTCAAAAATGAAACAAATTAAATAATGTGGAAAAATTTAAAAGATAAAATTTAAATGAATAATAACTAAATATTGCATAAATAAAGTGTCTCAATTAAATATTTAACAGCGATAAGTACGTATTAGATGCATAAGACAAATTTTCAACAAGTTCTTTTGTTTATATTGAATTGACCTACATATAACTACCATATTAGCCCAGCTCAAATATTTTCTTTTAAAATGTAACGTTGTTGCATTGTATAAAGTTGCAGAATGTATTTTTTAAGAAATGCACAACATTGAAATATGATATATATTGATTACGCTAAATACTTTTTTTTTTCCAAAAAGTAAAAGCATTTTAATGATGCAAAGTATTTTTCGCGTGATACCTTTCTTCCTACAGTGATGTTTTGTAACTTTTTTTTTCTATGGTGTACTTATTTAGATTTTTTGATATCGTATTACTCAAAATAAAAACTTTATCAGTTATTCCTCCCGCCTGCTTAGCAAGGCGCATATTCGAAAGGTTCAAGTCCCGGTGAGGGTATTGCTCATTTTTCATGTCTCCTTCTTCGAAATAACCTAATGTCTCTACAGTGGCGCCCGAACTATAAAAGGTGGTGGGTGATGTCTCTCCACCGCCAGCATTTGGCAAATGGGTTCCCTAATCCCCATTGGCCCTTTGAAAGGGTATAAGGTATTTCTCCCGCTTTCTTAGCATGCCTTCGTAATGTAATGGCCAGCACAACGCGTATTCGAGAGGTCCGAGGTTCGAGTCCCAGCGAGAGCATTGCTCATTTTTCATGCAATTGAACGCATCATCCTCTACGGCTTCCCAGTCTGGATGATTGTCACAGCAAGAATATGTCAAAAACTACAACAAATACAGCGAGTAATCCTGCTATAAACCACCAGTGAGTATAGCACCAAATCAACCGCAGCACTTCAGGTTCTAGCTAGCACGCTCCCACTCGACCTAAAAGCAGAATTAGAAAGATCAATCTACCGACTTCTACACTACAAAGAGGACCTTCATACTAAAGAAGATTTACATCTAACCTATGCCAGCATAGAAAGCTTCCAAGATCCCCCTGTCTTACACTTAAGAGATCTACCCATCCTGGTGCAAATCGCCACCCTCAGGACAACAAAGAGAGATTTTCTCTGACGGATCAAAAATTTCAGGACAGCGTAGGGGCAGCGTTCATGGTCTCTTCGAAAAATGAACAATGAATAAATTTATCAAGCACAATTCCATCTAAGCAACCACGCTTCAGTCTTCCAAGCCGAGTCCCTTGCACTCAAAGAAGCAGCACTATGGTTAGGTACGCAACCAGCAGCTCACACTTCATTCTTCACAGATAGCATGAGCGTTCTGAATGCGCTGAATTCCTTTCCTTCAAAACACCCGCACACGGCAGCACTTAGAGAGATCCTCTTGATATTAGGATCCTCCATCCCTTTAAAGATCAACTGGATAAAAGGACACTCCGGGCAGAAAGGCAACGAACGAGCTGATGAACTAGCTAAGCCGCAGCTCTCAAACTAGAAATTGACAAGGAATTTCCGCTTTCCGCAGAAGTTCCAAAAAGGCTCTTCAAGACAACATTCCAAGAGACATGGTCATCACGATGGCAGGAAGAAGAGACAGGAAGATTTACTTACAACATATTCCCAATATCTGCTCTCAAGAGGCTCAAATGCAACTGACTCTTCCTCCAGGCCTGTACCAATCACGGGAAACTTCCAGCGTATTACAGACGATTCCTCAGACGGGACGTCAACTGTTCTTACGATTTTCGCGGGGAAGACGCAGACGCACTTCGTTACCTGCTCTCCTGCCCTCTAACAGAGCACCTTCGACAGCAGTTCTTTCCTTCCGATTACATCACATATCCTGTAAATAGACTGTTCACGGACTATTACTGCAACAAGGGCGTCTTAGAGATAATGAAGCAAGTGAATGAAAAGAATTATATCCAAGAAACTAAGGATTAATGTAAAATGTAGAAAGGCGTCCTAACCGTCAGATTGCTAGCAACGACTAAAATGACTTCCTAACCCTGTAGTGCCATTAACTTAGTTTGGCGGAACAGGTTAAGTAAAGTGACCATACCATATCTCCTGCTTCTAAATAACCGAATGTCTTAATTTTACAACCTCAGAAATGAATGAAAGCTATTCAGTAATTCCCCAGTTGCATTTAATGTAGACTTTTGTACCGGTTATACACCCGAGGGAATGAAAATAGCTTGAAACATTGTCATACTCATTAACAACTGATTTCCAATAAAACGTAATTCAACTTCTTTAACATAAAAGCTTTTTTTTTTTTTCCTTAACTGAAATACGGCAAACACACGAGGGCTGGCTGCCTACGAAAAATGATGCCTTCGACTTTCTTAAGGGTCAGTCTCTGACTTTACTTTTCATGTAGCAAAAACAAATACTACGAAAAACCCACAAAACCAGCCCAATCTACGTAAAGAAAAAAAGCTTAAACAAATAAGTAACGCGCATTAAACCGGTATCAACATAACTTATTGTGATAAGATGCGTTCACTGAGAATAAAAATATATTTGATACAAAAAAAGTTACAAAATGTAAACAAAATTTAATGATAGAAAAAATATATAAGCAGGGATAGCATTAAAGTTAACATTTTATAGGCAATTTTTGCTAAAATAATGAGGTTTGTTTGGCTTGTTGTTTAAGGAAATGATAGAAGAATTACTCTATTAACTTTTAAAAAATTATTTTTTATCCGTATTTGTATCTCAGTTGCGCATGGGCAAGCATCAATGATGTTGATACAGTCTGTAATAATCATGAAAACATGTCTTCCGTAGATGAAATTTAAAGCACAATTCGGCATCAACAAGACAGAAGATTCGCTATTGTTGCCATTTGTATAAATGTCGTAGAGGTTATGAGAGTTTTTAAAAGCGGGAACATGAAAAATCAAATGTGTCGTCTCCGAAATTCGAATGGATGAATGACTGGAGAGAGGTACGAGATCCAGTCAAACAAGTGACGAATTATTTATCACATTTTAGTTCAGGCGCTCTGCAGAGATTATCAGTTTTTAATAAGAAAGGAAACATGAAACAGCAATTCTGTCTTTTCAAGAACTCGAACAGCGGATCTTTCAGTGTTAGCTGAACGGGCTTACAATTTAAACCTAGAGAGCACGTATTGGAAAATGCACTAATTTTTAATAAAATTTGCTTCTATTTTTGTATTTTTTGCTCAATAATTAGACCATAGTTAACTACATTAACTATTTGTTCGTCATTTGAATTTTCTATATTGAGAAAGATTTTATAATAGTTTATCAAACTTTCATTTACCATATCTTTAATATTGAGATCAGCAGAAAAATTTCTTTAAATCGTTTAAAGTTTACTTGCCTATAATATGGCGAATTAGGAGATGTATGTTAAATTTTAATTCATGAAATCATCATAGCGGCAGTCTAGGTATCAGGAAATTGATACATACTTAAATGTTTTTTTTTATCTGTTTTAAGATTTATGTTTTGACCTTGTGAATGAAAGCATTCCTTCTTCTTTATCTAGTAAAAGGGTAATAAAGAATTTCATGTGGTTTTTGAAGCAACATCATGGTCTTGAAAGACCGTAAAAATGTTTTATTGTTGTTTGCTCCCTACTCCGCTATGTGGCTTTTATGAGAAATTAAAAGAATTGAATTCCATTGAGTTATTTCCTGAAGCACCCACTTCATGAAGTATAAATAAAAGTTCACTAATTATTCAGCGTTCATAGCGTTTGGAAGAATACAATTGTTAATAAAAAGCAGCACGTCTTGTGTAAATATATTTAAATACATTGATCGGTTCTTTGAAATATCCATGATATAGCCATGATATCAATGAATTATACAAAAAAAAAAAAAATACAATCAAAATCCGATAATCCGGTTCAACGCAGCTGATAATCCGGCATGCCTTCCACTGATAATCCTGTCGAAAAAGAATGCTATTACATTTTCATTTGGTAATATTTATTATTAATACTTGGCAGTTGCTTTTAGCCATTTCTGTTATTCATTTGCTTGAAGTTTCCCATATATATATAGTTTTTAACCCAAAGGGGGCAATTTGCTCAAAAAGACTATTAATTTCGTTTTGGCATTTTGCGTTGGTTC